CACGTAGTCGTCGGGCGACCGATCGAGCTTCCTGTCAAAGTTACCTCGCGTTCGCGGGTAGCGCGATCTGTTGAGAAAAAAAGAGCAAATAAAAGAACAAAAACCGCCCGATAAAGAGTCATTAAAAATCGGCGAATTCGTTCGATCGCTGCGGAAGATATTGCGGGGACGCAACAGATGACCGCTGGTTGCTCTCTCATTATCATATGAATAATGTATAGAAAAATTTATACCACCGCATGAATAACGCATGGAAAACTAACGTGCAATGTGGGCGATAATATTTTCCGTAACGATAACGTAATATCGCTCGTAAATAGAGATATCGGGTTAGAGAGTGCCATGCTTCTCTTCCAAAAACAGCCAAAAACTAGCACTGTCAATTTCGACTACTCGGATACCCGAGTCATTCGGTAACTGAGTATACGGCTAATTTCAGACGTTACAAATTATTGATTTCTCTAATGATAATAATAATACAGATAATAATAACGTGTGAAATTGGCATTCAGTTACACCGAAAGATATTTCCATTGGATAAACCGATCGAATGATGTATCCGATTGTTATTTATATTGTCCGACTAAGTTGTGGATACTTTTAATCGATGAAGTAACCGATGAATCTACCGATGCGATTACTGATGATACCTGATCGGAAAACAAGTTGTCCTTTATGCATACGTTGTAATTTTCATCAGATAAAGGCACGTCTTAAGCGGATGAACTGACGAAATGGATCGGATATTTTTCTCAGGGTAGTGAAAGACTCGAGTAGTCAAAATTGACAGCACTACTGGAAACTTGCGCCAGGCATTTCCTCAGTAACCCAAATTCGACGGAAGGTCGTCGTCGAATATCAATTTTGCGGATCTCGTGCCTCACGAGGAAAGACAAGAAAAAATATCGCGATACCAACTGGGAGAGTGCTATTCGCGCGACGAGTCTCTCCTCTCCTCCTCCCTCTCTCGTATGCGTAGATTTATTGACGACAAGATTTTTACGACACGCGACACCACCTGTTTCCACAACCATGTGCACACATGCGTACGTGCGTGCGTGTGTACGCCGAGTACATGAAAATCAGTGGAATCGCACGATCGCGAGACCGGAGCAGCTCGCTGCCGCGTTTTACACACTTTCAAGGTTTTCAACAATCGGCGTTACTTTTCGCAGCGCGTCTCCCTCTTCCCCTTGTCCCCTCCAAAAAGCCCGCCCCTCCCGCCGCTGCATCCCCCTAGCTTCGCGTTCACCGGAGCGTTCACTTTCACCTCGCATAATTTATTCTATACCGAGCGTAAATTGAAGGCGTTTGGTGTATATGTAAGTCGCCAATTTAATAGCGCGATTACGAAGTGAGACGCTTTTTTCCTCTTTCTTCGTCTCTGTATCTCAGTCTCCCCCCCCCCCCNTATCTCTTTGCCTCCGTCTACTAAGCCGCCAGGCCTTTAAACGTATGACCGCCGTGATGTGTACTTTATGCCGCGAGAAGGAATGCATCATGCGCGCGCGCGCGCGCGTTAATATCATTCGACTTTCCATTCGCCGCGTTATGTCTCGCAGCATTGAGTTATTTTCGTACGTAGGAGCGTAAAAATGAAGAATAGAATTCCCGGGTAAACGAGCGAACAAATACACGCGCGCGTGCGAGAATACCTAACAGCGGCTTATTTTCATAATAAATTCATGACTCGCTCGAATTGACGTCAAGTTTGAAAAAATTCGATGATATCCCGCGTCGAGACGAACGTGACCGATTGCGTTTCGTCCTGCATTATTCGAGCACACTCGAGCCGCCGTCATTTCTCTTTTGTCGCGACCACCTTGACGAAGACACGAACGTGACAGTCGCCGAGTATTGCTCAGATATAAGAGAATGCGGACAAATAAAGAGAACGGGAAAAAAATCGAGAAACTTGTTGATATTAAAGATCCGAGGGTAATCTCGCGACAAAATATTTAGGAGTCTCACAAATCCTCGTCGTAAAGAAAAAAAAAAAAATATATATATATGTTATGACAACACTTGATCGGTAGACGCGAATGAACACGGAGATCCGGCGAAAACGAAAAGTAACAGGGAATTAAGAAAAGGAGGAAAGGAGCGAAAAGGTTACGACACGGATTTTCTCACGTGAAGTATACAAGCGGTCGTTACAAGCCCGTTCTGCGGGTTCGTTATTCGAGTTCGAGGAACAGCTGTGCTTTTCGAAGGGCCACGTTACACGCCCCTTTTCTTACGACGCACAGTGTATAAGCCCGAGAAACTGGCTCCTGGAAGCGCCCCGGGGATCTCTCCCGGCGTCTTTTAAACGGTATGCGTACCTGATGCGTAACCCTGCTTTCTCTTTTGTCTCTTTCTACCTTCCTCCTTCCCTCTCGTTTATCGCTGCTACCTGCATCCTTTACTTTTCAAAAGGGTCGGCGACCATTTATTTAAATATCTTGCCATCACACCGAATGTCCGAATGGAAAAATCCCGAGCGACCTTGCTTCGCATTCTTCCGTTTAGCGTCCTCGCATCTTCTAGATCTTTCGCTACGAAGAACATTGAGAATCTTAGAATGGTAAGAGTGGTTTTGTCACGGCAGATTTAAATGCGCAATAATTCTTGTCACTATTGCTCTATCCGATCGTGATTGAGAAGCAATTTATCTTACAACATGAATATTTTTGTTTTTCTCCCTCGTCCGAGCCAATCTTTTTTCTATCAAATACGGAAATAATCGCAAAAAGTGGTCAAAGTTGTTACAACGTACTATTGCGGGACGTACGTCATTCATTATTGAAGCAAGAAAAGAAACGGGTTCTACCACAGCAATTATGTCACTCAACTGATCTGAAATGTGAATCCGAGTTATCGAGTTTTATAATATTAATATTTCATTTATTTAAATGGGAGGGCGCGCATGCGATTTCAAAATGTATGCATATAGTAGAAAGCCACTTCCTCTCTCAAAGACTTGACTTCCCGCGCAATCAAACTGGCGATAACTAATTTATAACGTCGTGATAAATGCCACACTTAGTCGAATTCATGCGAAACGTTTTCCCGTTCGAAACGAACACGACAGGTTGGAAATACCGACGAGCCGTGGACAGCGAAATTGTTTTATCGAGGTCGTTTTCCGGTTTTACGACGCGTCGCGACGTATAAAAGCGCTATTCGATGGAGGGGAATTACAAGTTGCAAGCGCAATAGAAATAAAACGGGAAAGCGAGAAAGAAGAGAGAGAAAAGAGAGAAAAAAAGAGAGAAAGAAAGAAAAGGTCGCGTTGACGATAAGCGCGACACAGGCACGCAATGCGACTGTGTGCACGTATTTTTTTTTTTTCTCATCGGACGTCGCCCCGGTCGCGTTTTAATCGCGATATTTTGACGAAGGCATACGTCCCCTTCCCTTCGTCAGCCCCCTTTCCCTTCTGACAACGACGACTTCGCCACTTTCGAATCTCGTCCGGGAGGTTAGAATCAGCTGATGTAAGAATTCGCAACCGCTTTATAACGCTTCATGCTCATTAAACCGCGCACTTGGTTTAACAACGGAAAATAGTGCGGTCAGAAGAGTGGCGGTGGGTCAGAGAAAAAAAAAAAGAAGAAAAGAAAGATAAAAGGTATGTTTCCATCGTAGGAAAAGTTTCTTTTTTAGGCTGTTTTTAAAGGCACAAGAAGACACGGTACAATAGAGACATTTCTCAGATATATTTTCCAGACCTCTCCGAATATTTTTGTCATTTCCAAGCAATTTTATATTTGCAGCTCGCGTAACGCTCATGAGAGAAAAAAAAAACTAGCCGTAAACTAGAATACTTACGAATACAAAAATTCGAATGAGATAAAGGACCATATAAGGAACTGTTCTTCTATGATTTTACTTATACCATCTGATGTGAGACAAGAATGGAGAAGAACGCAGGCAAAGTCCAAAACGTGCGGCAGGTCGGCTCGCAGAAATTGCTATTGACATGACGTGACGAGACGAAGCGAGACGAGACGATGATTCATCTGTTTTCGCGTTTCTCGCATCAAAGAATGCTCGGAATCGCAAGAAAGTTTTACGATCACGTCGAGAAGCAAAAGGGCGGAGAAGGGCGACAGTGGACGACTCGTTCGCGAAACCGAGGAAAATTCCATACGCGCGTCTACCTATCTATATTCATATTTTTTCCCTCTCTTTCGTCCTCTCATCGTTGTTACATATGTCGCGATGATTTTTCGGCTTAGCTCGGCTCGTTCTCGCTCGCACATTACGTAATTGCCGTTGTCAAAGTGGCAGACATGTCGACATCGCGCGACTCGCTCGCCGCACCAAAGCCGCAAAAAGGGCGACCGCGCGCGCTCTCGCCGACGAGGGCGTATCGAGTTTTCAGATTTGTCGGTCTCTCGAGAGAGGTACCTACGAAAAGTCCTTCGGACTCTTTCGAAGGAGTCGACGACGGGAAAAGGAGGAGAGAGAGAAAGAGCAGCTGTTCGCGAGGAGAGCCAACGTGGCCCTCTCTCGTGCGCGATCTCCTTCGAGGAGAGCGGATCGCATCGAGAAGAGACAAGGCAGGGACGAGGGGAGAATGAGAGAGGAAGAGAAAGAAGGCCGAACCCGCGTTGAAGCGTTCCCAGGCGTCACCGCGACAGCAAGACGTCGTCGCGACGAAATTTCGCACGAAATATGGCGAGCGAGCGACACGACGATCGGGTGTCTCGCTGTGTCCGTCTCTCTCTGCCTCTCTCTTTCTCTCACGCTCTTTCCTTGGCATGATATTACGACACACGTATATCGCCGTCCCGTGGCGACAAGTAACGCACACGTGCGCACATATGTGCGTGTGTGTGCAGTGATCGTGCGCTTGAACGCACATATGCAGCACACACGCATCAAACTCGCTCGCTCGCTCATTCGTTCGCTCGCGCACGCAACGCCGACAGTCTCTCTCTCTCCCTCTCTCTCTCTGCTTCTACTGCTGAAGAAATGACGAAACTGGAATAGGCACGACAAAGATCACTCACCCTATTTTTCACGTAGCTCAGGATCTGACGATGCGCTGAATCGGTGAGCTTGACGAACAGCAGGTTCTTGTTTTCGTTGAAATTGCTTCGCAAACCATACTGGACACCTGCCTCCAGCGTCGCCATTTCTCTGTCTCTCGGCCGTGCACGGCTTCTCTCTCGCGCTCGCACGCACTGTCTCGCTTGCTCTCACGTCCGCGACGGTCCCCCTCGGCGCAGAACACAGCTGACGTCCTCTGCTAGGCTGCTGGCTGGTTGGTTCGCTCGCTCGTTGCTGGGTCCCGCCGTCGTAAAACGGCACGTCGATGGAACGCACTTCTCACTCCTTTTCCGATCTTTTCTCTCACGCAGTCTCGTCCACCGCCGTCTCACTGTCGAACGATCGCGCGCGTTCGGCCGTTCGGCGCCAACTTCACGGCGTACACCCGGACTTGCGGCGACGACGACGACACACGGCTGTGCCGCCGGAACTCACGACGCGGAACTGGCACGGCGCAGAGAAGCACGGGAAGGGACGCGGAAACGATGCGCCCGAGACGGCGAGACGACGTGATCTCCGTCGAGACGACGACGAACGTGTTCTCACGCGCACCGCGAGCTTGGCACATCAAAGCGTCCTCGTTGTCGCCGCCGCCGTCGTCGTCGTCGCCGTCGTCGTCGCGAAACGTAACGTTCCTGTTCCTCGTAACGCTCGCACCACCTTCGCGGTCGTCGTCACTTCCAGATATCCCCGCGGGCTCCTCTCACGTCTCTCGTCGACACACTACTACCTCGCAGCTGCGACACCCCCGGACCGTGTACAGTCCCCGCTGCGAGAACCGACCGAAGTAGCACCCCGTGCCGACGTGAAGCAACAACCTACCCTCACCGCGCTCGCGACACGCTTGCTCGTCTCCTCCAGGTTTCCTCGAGATCGTCACATATTAGCGGGCGGAACACGTATCATTTCGAATTTTTCCTGTGATTGGACACGAACTCGGTGAGAGAGGAGAGCAGCGCCCGTCGTTCCGCCGTAACGTACTACACAACTACACACTTTCGAACGGACACCTGGTAGGCGGGGTCGGCGGAAGGAGACGTCGACCAATCGCAACGCGTCACAGAGAGCTCGAACGGCAACCGTACTGTCCTCCCGCGGCGATACTAGACGACCGACTGCTCCCGGCTTCGACCGTCGCGCCACGTACTCGTGCTACCATCTGTGTTCACGTGGCGTCAAGTGCACGTAGAGGTCACCCTACGGCGGTTACATTACCGGCGATGTTTAACACACCAGCCTCTCTCTGGAGACAAAAATATCAGCGGGTATAGTTCGTCCGAATGAAAATACATTTCTATGATTATAGAAAATCGGCGTTCGATACATTTATTCGCGATATATATATTTATTATATTTGAGATCATCTTGCGTTCATCTTTAGATGCCTCGTAACCAGTGAAACGGTCTGCATAGCGTCATAAGATGAACTAAAGACGATCTTAGGTAAGTTTGTTTCAGCCGAACTTTAGATTGTACTTTTTGCCTTTAGAATAAAATAAGTATAATCTATTGGAAGGAAAAAGAACGAAATTTCAATGTTACTTTAGTTCAGCTGAAACAAACAGATTTAACGTAGGACTATGAATAGTGACCGGATTCCGGTTTTCTCGAAGCATCGTGAAATCTAATATTCTAACGAGCGTACAATTCCTGTCTCGAAACAACAAGTATCAGAGAGAGAGTCTAGTATCTCGTTGACGTGAACATGATAATACCTTTTAGGTTTGACGAATTCTCGAGCGTTCGAGCACTCACTGTCTAGGAACTTTACGAGCGGAACGATAGCGTTGTGGTTGCAGTGTATCGCTTGTCTCGATGTAAAACTTGGTTCTTGGTTACGTCGTTGTCGATGTCTGATCAAAATAATCCGAGTACTGTGATATTTATCTCGCTCAACAATGTATAACACGGAAAAAATAGCCGGTGCGTTAGCTTCATTGTTACTAATGTACTCATGTGTTGCCATCAAAACTGACTTTTTTGACGGGAGGAAGGATCCATTCGGTCCATATCCTAGAATACCAGATAAGGAGAAGCTGAAGGTAACCTTTGTGGTTATTATGACTTGAATTCGCCATTTGAGTTCGTCAGTCGTCTGACCTCATCAATGCCGATCACGCGGATATTATCGATAATTTTCTAATCTAAAGGTCCTTGCACGATGCCAGACAACAGGAACGAAGAATAACAGGCAACCTATCGTGTATTGTTTGCTGTGCGTTTTTACACGGTTTTCATTAAGTTGGAAATTTATTGCCTGTATTATTATCTGTTCCTGTTGCCTGACATTGTACAAGTACCTTGATTCTGCAATTGTTGAAGTCGAAATTGAGGTTAGTCGACGTTGACGAAAGTAGCTTATTTCTCGTGTAGGTTAAACAAACTTCGATAACGAAATCACGATTCTTATTTTGTTTCAGAAAGAGTTAGCGTTTGCTGCGGAATGTAAGAAACACACCTTTCCACCCAAGGAAAAATTCTTCTATGATTAGATATGATGAACATATATGTCCTTCCACAAGGATATAGCTGTAAATAAATGTAATAACTTATAATCACGCTACTCGATCTGTTTTGAGCCAGAATTCAAGGAAATATCATTATTAAACTTGAAATTGTATGTAGGACTTCTATAGTATGTTCATTATTCAAGTTATCTCCAAACCCTTCGTTCGGATTTAATTTTTTAATCCTACGATTTTAATATCTAGTCCCACGGACTTTTTATTTTTCAGTGATAGTATTAATTGTTATATGATTACTTGATAAAATATAGACGCGAGTATTTTAACAATAAATTACCTCTCTCCTGCTGTTGAGTTGCACGTTAAGTGGCTACGATCTCATCGTTAAAAGCTGTAGTGACTTGAAGCTGCATCTTTGAGCTACACTTCACAATTATTGCATTACACTTTGATGGAACTGGACTGTGTTCCAAAACTAATGGATGGGTGAAGTATCATTTAATTAACCAATTATGATAAAAAAATTTTTTGTCCCGATTAATCAGTTAAATGCTACTTTACCCATCGAGTAGGATTTTGGAATATAGCCCGGTACACAAAAAGGTTCCAATACTTTTTTTTTCGATAGGTTTCCTTATGCATATTTCATATCCAATAGGAAATATATCCCCCGAGAATTACTAAAAGATATAATTCTTTTATTGGATACCGGATAGGTTCTGAAATTTATCAACAAAATTGCAACCTTTATGTGACTGACCATACGGATAGAAAGAAATCTAGGGGTGAATTGTGTATCTCAAAACATAATGAGAATTACAAAATCAAGCTAATTCACTAGGTGTTGATCAATAAAATTATAAATATTCGAATAAATTCATTCACTTTTATCATTCTCACTACGTTTCGAAATACATAATTGGCCTTCTGAGAGCGCTGCATATAATGAATAATAAAGATAGATATAATGGACTATTTTCACACGATAATAATAATATGTCACAATAATGCCACCTAGCCGAGAGGTCGTGAAATATATTCCAGGAAACAACGCGAAACTATCGTGAACTGCCACGGTCACGTGATATTTTTTAAGTAGTTCAGCAAAGTGATTCTCAGTTATAGAACGGCTCAGTGACGCGGTAATGCGGATGCGTTGAAGCCGTTCTATATTTCTCGTGATTTCTCACCTAAGGCGAGTCTCGTGTGAATTCTGTCGAAAAGGCCAAAAAAATAAAAGTTTAGCAATAAAATCATCAGTCGGACGTTGTTCATCTCCATTATCACCCGAATACAAGAGAGATCTTGACTTTTTATTAATAAACAATACCACAAGAGAAACGAAGAGTAATTTCATTCACGCGTGGGAGTAATTTGTAACTCTTCCGCTCGCGAAAAGATACTTATCAGACAGTTTACGCTTGTCGGCTTGTTGCTTAATTTTACGGAGGAGGGCAGACGTGGTGATGGTGATGGTGGTACTCTCTGAGATACGTTAACTTGCTAATATAATTTAATTTAATAATCTGGTCGTTTTACATGTGTGAAAAATGTACAAAGGAAGGAATAAAGGAGGGTCATGGACAGAGCCATGCTTATTTCGTCGGGCTCGGGGTGGACGTTTATTCCGGTTTTCCCTGTACACGCGCGAGCCAAAGTGTGTGTCCGAGCACCCTGCTTACACCCCGCGCCTGGACAACGAATAGAACAATCTGGCCCTGGCGACAGACAGAATAATCTCAGGCTGATAATTTCGGATAATTTATTAGAGTCCCTGGGTTACCTTCCCCTGAGGCAGCTTATCCCGATAAGAAAATTTCTCTCTCTCTCTCTCTCTCTTTCTCTCGCTCTTTCTCGTAATCATTGATTCATCTTCACGCACCGCTCAATGAATCCTCGAAAGCCATTCGCTGACACCGGATCCATTCGGACCATTGTGTTCTTTTCTCTCTTCTAGGTATCACGCGAAACTCAGTCTTCATCAATCCTCGTTTAGAGTGTGTTTCTCTTTAACAAAAAACTTAACGCACGAAGAATCAAAGAATGAGACATTGACAATGACGGTTCGGTGGATCCGAAAGGAGCCGGTCGTTAGCCAGGCATGGGTCACGCATGCGTCGCGCATAAACGCTCCTTATTTATCCTCCGTTTTGGTTTCGCCGGCCATTTAAGAGCACCCTTCGGATATGGTACATTGGATCGCGAAACGAGGGACGAGAAAACTGTGCGAACGTACCACGGGAGGGGAGACGCGGAATTAAAATGAGCAATGTGGGGGTATGTCGAACGAACGCGGCTCGCTTGAACGCCTCGCTCGTTCGTCGGGATATAATCGCGCGTTTTTTCGCGAGTTCGCGAAAGCAACACGACTGACAGTCGCGGATGGGGGCCGAGAAATCAAAGAAGAGAAGAGCCAGCGCGCGTCATATATATTGACGCGTCTGCCGCACCGTGGCGGACGACGACGCATTGAGGCGGACACACGGACACGGTCGTGAAAACATCGTAATTTGGGGAAGTGCGATTTGGACGATTTCGAAAGCCTGCCGTTCCGTGGCTGCCTCGCGATTTCACAATCCCGGGGACACGCGCGCGAGCCGTCCTCCCCTCGTGACCAGAACTGGATGGAGGTTGTGGGATTGATGCACGTATCATTTATATATATATATATGTATATATGTAACATATAATAATATAATTTATATACGTAATGTATAATGAGGACTTATAAAATATTATCTACGAAGAAAACGCGGCCGGCACTCTGCGCTTCTCTTGAACCTCACGAGTCCCTCGGATATGTGTGTGGGTCTGTGTGCGCGCGCAGAACGAATCGAAAGAAACAAGAAAGTCGAATTATATCGGATCGAACGCGCAGAAAAGGAAACATTTTCGTCGAAATCATGTTAATCGATCGCGAGACAGCAACGGCTCGCGGCCATGTGTGATCACATGTGTATGTATATATATCTATATATATATATAATATATATATAATGTATATACACACTCGTAATATGTATATAATATGTGCAGTCGTATGTGCAATATATTCTGTGGTTACACGATCGAGATGCGATAATATCTTACACATGCGTGTGTGTTTGTGTGTCTGTATATTTTTATTGTGTTGTGTATACGTGTGTGTGTGTGTGTGTGTGTGTGTGTGTGTCGACAATGCGAAAATTAAACTACAACGGGTCGGCTGGGCAACGAACGGACGCTTCGTGCGCGATGTCGACGCGACGATGCGAGTGTGACTCGCTCGTTATGACGAAATGGTGTGACGATTATATGAACAAGGTCTCGGTCCGTCGCTTCTCTCTTGTCTCTTCGACCATCGAAGTTCCACGACGGTCTTCGACCGAGCAAGTAACAGCGATAGCGAATAAAAAGTGTACGGTCGATATCCGAGCGTTCGGTGCAGCAGTGGATTGCATTCGCGTCGAATTGCGCTGATCTAGACGTGGGAGACAATATTGAAGGGGGACGAATGAACGAGGAGAATAGCTGCGTCTATGTTACATGGGAAATTCCCACTCTCTTCCTCTGTTGTCTAAAGCTGCGTTCAGAAAACATAAGGAACGAAGATTCGAACGACTAATAAAACTCTCAGGAGCGAGCAAGAAAACTTCAAAACGAACTCCAATTCACGAATTGTTGTTTCGGAGACGCTCGATTGTTTATTCCGTAGGTAAGTATGTTCTTCGTACGATACACGCATGCTGACTGGAGACGTGTTTCATCGCGAATGAAAAAAAGTTGCGGGCCTTCGTCTCATTCGAGACGATTCGTCGACGAGAAAACAACATAGGGTTATGCGGAATTGCACGACGAGAAGATTGCTTTTCGTTTCACGTTTCTACGTCGATTCGTTCGCGAGTTACGACCGTTCAGTTTCGACGCGCTCGGTCGACGGACGCTATACGCGCATGCGCGAGCGGAGTAACACGTGGCGACGGCGTGTAGCGCGCACTCATGAGCCCCCCTAGCGAGCGGCAACGTGCTCGGCAGAGCGGTCAGCTGACCACGTGTAGCGCATACGTGACGGAGTGCGGATCATGGCCTACCCCACTCCGTACTACGTTGGCTAATCGCCCGACCACGCGGTCATTCATCCCGCATTGCCGCGTTTCGCGCGCTGGCTCGATAGGTGCCGCTAACGTTGAACCGATCAGGTGCGCGATTCGACGCAATCGTCGATATCTTCGCTTCCGACGATGGTAGCGACTTCGAGAAAAGATCGTTGCAAAGCTGAGAGTTTCGCGCTCTCGACGGGCGCACGGTCAGTTTTCCTCGAGGCGGGGATTGATCGTTATAATTGAGAGAAGAAGAGTAGTAAGAACTCTTTTCCGATTTCGATATCTCTGAATATTGATCCGATTAATCTGATTCGTTTTAATTAGTGTCTTAAGAAGGGGAATTATGTGTTTTTAATTGTAGATATGTATACATTGAACTCTCCGCATGAGTCGTCGCAATACTCGTACGAAGAACGTAATTCGCAAAGTAAGAAGCTCGAGAGGAATATCTCGGGAGACGATTAATTTTGTCAAGACGTTCTCGTTTGTCTCGTGTGCGTTTCTCCGGACAATCGAGTCTCTTCATCCGCAACAACGAAACACTTCGTTCAATTCGCGACGGCATGCGGGACAGAGTTCTGCTTGTAATTTCACGCGCAGCATGATGTAAAAAACATTTCAAGATTTATAGGTGTGCGTGTGTAAACGCGTACACGTACATCTATAAACGCAATTCCGATTCTTCGAATGTTTCCTTACGAGCACACTCCTGTCCCGAGTCCCGCGAATTACGAATCGTCCGAAACTGGCTCCGGATGTTTTTGGACATGGAATGGTTTTGGATATCCGTCGGAATCCAAATATCCCGCGGAAATGGTCCGCGTTGGAGGTACGATGCCGGAACCGACGTTGTTCGTCGCGCGATGCGACTTACGAGAATCGTCATCCCCTCGTTCGCTCGTACCCTTCGTCTCCCTCGCGATCGTACCGTACGTGAAATCCGGTAGATCCGGTAACCGGACGCGTTACGATCGTCGCTCGGATAAAGACCAGAATCACAGATAGTCAAACGAATGCTGTACACATGTCGGATTCATTTCCACCTCTAGCGATTCCGTCACGCTGCACACGTATATATGTATAT